CCCCTTCTCAGACAATGGTGGGGGTTTCTCTCTCTCTCTCGCCCGTCGAATCCGTTCGGCTTATTGCTCCGTGCTTCTCTCCATCCACCGTGACTCCTCGCCAGTCTTATCCTCTTCATCTTCATTTTTTTGGCCTTTCGAGAGGACAAAGCAAATATTGTCTTCATGGCGGGATGAGCCAGATCGTGGCTAGATTGTGCCAGGGTTTTCTTGTGCAAGCTTCCTTCTCCCTTTCCTCATTATACGGTGTCATGGACACTCGTCGCACGCCTCGGCATTCTCGACTTCGCTTGATGGCCCATAAAAAAAAAGAAAACGTGAGGGCTTCCGCAATAATGTCGGGTATGAGAACGACTGTATTGTATACTAAGTCTTCTCGTCTGTCAAGCACTGACAATGACCTTGCACGAAGATAACCCGATAACCCGAGCGGCACACGCCGACAGGAGTGCCGTTTCCCAGAACTTGTTTTGGAACAAACCCAGCGTTTGCAGGGAATGAGATCAAGACCAATATTTGAAGAGGTAGCGCACCTCGAATGGTTGGGATATTTTCCTTCAAAAGAATGTATGTCCAGGTCCTCACGGAGAGAATGTATGCACATATTTGTGTGCTCACTGGATTCGCCGCCACTGACCTTGGATTGATCGTGAAAGAAAGACGAAGATTTCCTGCTTGCGAAATGTGAGATGAGACGCGACGAGAGCTGATGGACCTTCAAGGACATCTCCCTTCTCATCTTTGTCCATTGTCACTCGTGCGTGGATTTGTGTCTCTCCGGGCCTCCGTGCATGACGGGTTACATCTCCACCTTTCTTCTTTTTTTTTAGTCGGGAATTGAAACGTGAAAAAAAAGTAGAAAGTATCACGAGCTGATATAGATTCCTCCATCGATCCGACTCCGTGCGAAGATGCACGAATCACCTTTGGGGTTTGAGTCGTGGCGATGTCTCTCGGCGGCAGTTCATGCCTCCGGTTCCGCGTCATTCAAGTATGTTAATTTTTTTTAATGCGATGATGCAGCCATTAACAAATACATCGGGATGAAGATTAATCGTGCGGGGATGAATGAACCGATACGGACTCGAGAGCGACTGCAGTGGCGGATGGCGATGCGAGAGCAAGATGGCAGCTGCTGATCCATCTCGAGACGAACTGTGTATGCAAATGTCCAAAGCAGATGTGTGCTGGCCTGCCTCGTTGGGATCCGGGCATTTCCCTTGCGAGGTTCCCGCGCAGTAATTGATGCGTAATTTCCTGGCGTAATTCAGTTCGTGTGCCGTGGCTCTTCCCTAACTTGATTCTGTATTTGGTTTCGCATTGGCCATATGGATATCCCATCCATAACTGAAAATTTCTACGCTTGGGATTTTTTTCTCTTGGTCCAAAAACTAATTTATGGAGTACAGGAAAGGGTCTATGGTAGCTCACTTTTGTTCTATCGGGAATTGATCTATTTTTGAGCTGTGAACGCATGAAAGCATTTCCTTCTGGAGAATTCTGTTATGCTAGCTCTACCGCGAAATCGTGACACTTAAGCGGTGCCTCCCTCTAATTCATTTTGGGATGAGGAAGGAGGCACTCCCAGTTCCGAAAGTGTGCCTGACACTTTTTTTTTTCTTAGTTTCCTTTCTTTGAAATTGAAATGAGGCTTCTTTTGCAATCGCCCGGATGTCTGTGTATGTCAACGAGAAGCTTTCTTCGGCGTTTGCAGGAATACTGTCGCTTCAGACTTCGTCATATTTTAGCTTCAATTCACAGTTTTGATTAGCTTTGCCTCTATTCGGTTTTAGAGACACTTCACACAGTAAAAGAATTCATAAAAGAAAAGAAAATTGACTGCGGTAGACCGTCTCTGGGTCTTCCGTTCTCTTCGTCCCTTATCTTCTGCCCTATTATTTTGCTTGTCCCTTCCGTGACGGTGCGTTCAAAGGAGGTTCTCTACTGTACTGGGCTTTACCGTATGTGTTTATTTATTGATTAGAGTTTCGCCATACGGTTCGGCTTTATGGTTTTTGTTCCGGGGTTGCGTGAAAGTTGGTTTCCTTCCCGGTTTGCTGAAGGCATTTGCAAGAGAACTCGACACTTTCCTCTCTCCTTCGCTCTGTCAACAGTCTCCGCCCCTCCGAAGAAATGGTTTGATGGAGTCGTCCCAGAAAGGAGACGTTTTCGAGTGAGAGGTTTCATTCACTTTCCGGGTCCCCTGCCCTTATCGCCGATCGAGGGAGAGGCTCCCCCGACTCTCTTTTCGTGACCTGGTTCCTCCGCCTTTCACGACTGCCCGCTATCGTGCATTTTTTCCTTCCTTCTTGCCATCTCCCCTCTTGCTTCCAGACTGGACGTCGTCGTGATTAACGAGCGAATAGGAAGCAGGTGAGGGAGGAAACCCGGAATCCCGGAAGGATGGAATCGAGACGGGCAGGGTCGTCAACTATCCGCATGGTTAGCTGACCGACTCTCTTTCCACCGCCCTTCCTGGATCACGCCTCCCTCATGTCCCATGCACGTGATACGGCAGGGATCGCACATGTGCATTATCAGGAACTCATTTCCTTCCTGGTCTTTGCTCCTGCACCTTCTGAAATGCTCATGTGTAATTTCAAATATGCTGTTCCTGCGCCTTTCTTTTTCTCCTGAAGCGTCTGCAGCGCGAAGTCGAGATATTCCAAACGCTCTAATTCCCATCTTTCTCGACTTGTTATGCGTGAAAGGCATGCATTGTACCCTTCATTGGCATTCTCATCCCTCTTCCATCTCTGTGTGCTTCCATTTTATCGTAAAAGGAGAACCAGAAACGTGCTTGTCGTTGAAAAACGGTAGTGATGCAACCATTGAAAGGCGGAGGAATGGGATTGTCATAATCAGCATCGCGATTGCATCGTAATGAAGGAGCCCTCATCGCCGCCCAATCATCATTAGTGTCTCCATTTGTAGGCACTTGCTTCATGCAGCTCGATTTCTGCCCTGGAAACAGGGAAGGACTGATACATCTGCATTGCTGCATTTGGTTAACAGGTGTCATTCATGTCTGGCATCTATGACGCGAATTTCGTATGTGCTTCTGCACAGCGTTCGCAATTGGCAATACCAAGGCCGCATAAGGCTCTCCATGATTCAGAACGATCTAATTTTCATGACCTCAAAGTCGAAAAAGTAGGAATCTCTTTCCAGAGACTTGGGAAAGCGAGGGACCATGAATGTCGTCTTTCTGTCGGGACCTTGGGAAGTGAAAACCGGATGCTGCGATGGTCCCTAAAAGGCAGTCAAAGATCGGATCGCTCGGATGAATTCACCTTCCCCGTGTACCTATCGTATATGTCGTGGCACCTTGCCAAGAGAGAGGGATCTGGTGAAGTGTCTTTCGTTTTTGCCAGTTTGCTCAATCGCGGGTCTGGATGAGGTTCGTGCAAATTCAAGCGGAATGATTCAGCACGGATTTGCATTCAATCGGGAATAAGGATGATGTACCCGGGAAGCCCATTACATCCAGTCATGACATACGCTTCTCAGTTGTCAGTTTCGACTTGATCATGTTCACTTCCGTGTAGGGATTTTTATCTTCTGAAAGCTCCACGCGAAATTTCTTTGCGAAATCACGCTTCCTTCTTGACCTGTAGTTGGTCATGTGTTTGAGTATCGTGACGAGCTTTGTATTACCTGTACTGGTTTCCCGTATAATTCTTTAAAATTTATTTTATGGAGGTGTTGCGACATCTCTTCTGGACGTTCTATGAGGAACTGAGTAGTACCTTGTGGTATGTTGGAAATTCGAATTCGTCTCACGCAAAAAGCCCAAAATGTCCAAGTTTTCCCATTCCACCTACATTTGCGTGAACCGAAGAGAGAAAACACTTGCATGCGTGCTGCCCTCTCAACCCGATGTTGTTGGTGAATTAGTGGAAAAAGCAGAGGAGATCGCTTCGCCTTGATGGTGCTGTAGGGATTCTCTCTTGAATGTACTTGAATGTACTCAGAAGTGAGGGGGAAGAGGTAAACGATTCCTTTTCTTTCCTCGCGAAAGTATGCCTTGATGGCCATCATCTCGGAGTTTGGCCTCGTCAGATTGCATGAAATCTGTCTATACGTCCTCGGTAGAAGGATAAGCGGGAGGCGTGATTATCATCCCTGTGAGATGACCTCACGAGGAGTGAAGATACAGGGACGGCGAAGTGGAATGTCGTCATAGCGGAAGAGGGAAGAGACGGGGTGAGGGATGGAGCAGGTGAGAGGGGACTGTCTGACCAGAGCCATTCTGAGGGTCGCCTGCCCTCCCTCGCCGTCTCCCTCTGGAGGGACCTTTACAAATATCATTTCGAGTCTTGGGTGCCGGTTCCATTTCCACGGGTCGAGACCTTTTCGTAACGGGATGTAATGAGGGTTACATGGCACATACACTCACTGGCACGTAGACCCGATCGTTAGGTCCCGTTATTGCCCTAGCATCCTTCTCGGACTGGACAACCCCGCCCGGTCCCGATTGCGATCGCGCAACGTAGGCGACACGTCTTGCGCCATTGCTTGCTTCTTTTTCTTACATTTCATATGGATCGGGGGGAATCTTCTGCGCCTCGGGTCACCCGCCCACCCTGACCCAGTTGAGCCATTAACGAAACAAAGGGGAAGGGAAAAATTAAGATAAAAAGCAGGATTCTCATTCTCTCGGCTGCTAACCAGTTCGGAAGGATTCCGGTTTTCGGGTAAGGAGGCCAAGAGAGGGATATCCACGCCGTTCTACGGTTTTCTTCTTCCATTCTCATTATCTCATTGTTTTCCGGAGAACGTTAAAGAAACGTACTATTTTTTTTTCTTGCTTTCTGATCAGTCGTGCCAAAACACTGTCGATGAAACCAGGATATCAGATCTGGTGGTCTCATTCACCCCAGGAGGCCGTGACAGATGTATTCGTGTCATGCCCTTGCGAATGGACACATTGATGAATCGATGCACATAATTTAATCAGTGTATAATAATTTTTTTCTCAAATGTATTTATGGTTGCAGTGTCGGTGAGTCATCCCCCGCAGCGGCCTTGGATCCCGATGGCCCACCCCGATGGATCTCGGCCTTCGTGTGAGTTTGTCGTCCTTTTTTTGTCATCTTCCGCCATGTACTAACACGAAGAAACTCCATCGAGTCTGGGTGACTCGAGACAACGATGATGAAGCAAATACACGAGGAAAGTGCGAGAAAGAAAAATGATGAAATTTAATTGGGGAAAAAATACCGTAATTTTTGAATGCTCACACGTGAAGAAGAAAGATTGCAGACGAGTCAATCCGATGAACAGTTTGAAGGAGCATCGGAACGCTAGAGAAGGGAATGGGGTTGGAGGCGAGAGAAACGGTGCGGCACACATTCCTCCGGTTATAATTATATCGGATAACGGACGGATCGGGGCACCGTTCGTCTCTTCCCTCTCGGGTGCACCCACTCGTTTGTTTCGCGGCTCCCGTCTCCAATCGGGGTTCTGAGGTGGGGGATGGCTAGTATTTTTTGTTTGGGAATAAGTGCGCAGGGAGGGGGAAGGAATGATTGGGATCCTTGGGGGGGAGTCGCCCTTGAATCTGTATTTCTGGCACAAGGCCCCGTGAGTGCCCTCTAGGTGACTGATGATGTGACCTTTGCAAGGACTATGAAGGGAAAGAAAAAATATGCACCGCACTTCTTTAGACTGACCAAAAAAAATTTACGCCCACAGGTATCTTCACTGTGATGTGCTACAACGTGCTGTGCGATAAATATGCGACTCGTCAAGTGTACGGGTATTGCCCGACCTGGGCCCTGGACTGGGAATACAGGAAGGTGCGGATTATGGACCAAATTCGACACACTGCCGCCGATATCATCACCCTACAGGTGACAATTTTTTTTTATTATTGTGCCGGCTTTCCACGGAGATTGAAGCTTTTCAGTTTACTTTGACGGGAACCTAACCGAAGAAAAATACTGCATCCAGTGAAATTTGTAGAAATTTGACCGTGTACTTAAACTTATGGAGATGAAGGTTAGTAGACGGGAGAGGTTGGGCCTGGAGAGATGGTTGCGTCAAAATGGAAGCAGTCCTTTTCGCCGTTGTCTCCTTCTGAGAAGCCTGCATTCGCGATGACATTCGAATGTGGGCTTCCGTTAGTGGACCCGTGCTCTCCTGTCTACAAAGCTTCTTTTTTTTGGGGGGGGGTTTGGAATGGACATGCCGGTGCAGGACTTTTCCGTGTATGTCAAGAAAAGGATTTATCGTCGATGGGGAAATTCTTAGCTGGGCCGTAGTGCGAGTCCGACGCGGCTACGAGCCTATCTCGTAACGTATGCATGGATACCCCGTGGCTCGAAAGAGACTCGTTGCCATCGGTGAGCCTTGGATGAAGAGATAATGGGATGCGACTCGATGAGGGCCTGCAGACGGTGACGGAACCCAGCCGAGTCGGGGAGGAAAGGTGAAAGGTGCACGCGCACTCCCGGCATCCAGATGAGGGGAGGGCTCGGGTTCGGCAAGAATCGTGATCGGGGAGCGAGATGCCGGGGTCCACGGCGGGGATGTTGTGGCGACTGGAGGCTGTTTGCATACTGATTTGTCTCTCTGTTGGGGGATGTTTGACGTGGACGAGGCATGCATCTCGTGCGGGAGTTTGGCTGGAGATTTGCCTACGTAAATGGTGACTTTCTCGAGTTCGATGCCGCTTACTGATTGAAAAATTGCGCGAAAGTCTTTGAGGAACGAATTAAAACAACTTATGAAGATGTCAAATTGAGATTTTTCCCCTCCCATCTCCCCCGTCGTGCCATTCGTAATTGAGCGGGAGAAATCGCGGGAACCTAATCTCCGGATCGTGTGATCGCATGATGCGTGCTGCCACCGCGGGTCGAGGTTCCTGATCGAGCATATCATCGCTGCTCCTCGTCGGGGGGGCATCGCCAATCATCGTGGCACATTGCCTCGATGATGATTTTAAAGCACGTAGCGAATGTCCTTTGCGAGACTTGCACGGTCAGAAGTGTCCTCAATCCGGTGGCATGAATTTCTGGTGAGAGGATCTGTATTTATTCTCGGTTATTCAGCCGTTAAATGCCAAAGTCGGGTTGCAGACATTCGCGAATACGCCTGCTTCGCAGTGGCCTGAATAAGCTCGGAAAGATGAAGAGTATACATATCTCTGGCACATACAGCGTGTCCACCCGGCCGGAATGAGTTGCGTGTTCTGGGTCATCAGTGCGACAATGCGATCGTCCATTACTCTTCCATAATGTCTGTAATGGCATTTATTTTGTGAATTCGAGTATGGTGAGGGGGACGGGAAAAGGATTTCGTAACGTACGGAGTCCATGCAGTTCTTTCGGGCCGCCTTTCGAAGGCCTTTGTTGGGCATTCTCGGAACGAGACAAAGCGGTAGACTCGATGTGGATGCTCAACGTTTGGATCTCGCCGGGTGGCGTTTGCGTAGGAGGTGGAGACGGAGCAGTTCTACGACTACTTCCTGCCGGAGTTGAAGAGGGATGGCTACGATGGCATCTTCTCGCCCAAGTCCCGGGCCAAGACCATGACGGAGAGCGAACGGAGGCACGTCGATGGCTGCGCCATCTTTTTCCGCACTCGCAAGTACGTGTGCTCTCGCTTCTATTACCCATTTTCCGCTGTCGTAGCGTGGGAGTGAGGGTCGAGGGGGAGGAGGCTCTGTTAGGGGGGGGGTTGGAGAAATGGGGGAGGGGGATACAATGCGTCCCCGTGAGGAGGCTCTGTCATGGGCGATATTCAACACAGAACGTGATGCGTGTAGACGGATGTCGAAACTTTTTTTTTCCATTCGTCGTCCTTGGCACTCTTCCTATACTTATTCTTCTTCTTTTGCGTCGTCACCTGTCCGAGCCGAATTCATCACTAGCCCTACTAGTCCAGCCGCGAGTCGAATCCCAATTAGCATCATCGTCTTCGAGTCTGAGGAGATGTCACTTAGCGTTCTAAGGTCAGAGCATTTCCAAACTGTGGTGGCGAAACCGAAAACGTTGGCACCCGTAGATAAATATCCGAATTATTTGAAATGTCGCCCTTTTTTTTTTAATACTCCCCTATTTCCCAAGGAGAAAGGTACCGGGAGTATTAATTTATATTTAAAGAAATGGGGGGGGGGGGGACTGGTAGACATATTACAGGCGTCCACGAAGATGTAGGACAAAAGGCAGTGCGCAAAAGTGCATGGAGCGCTCAAGGTGGGCCGACTATTCAAGCACTTAGTTATGGGAAAAGTTCTAGTTTTGCGTATTTGCATGGAGGGTATGTTGAAATTGGGACGTGGCTTTCTCCCTATCCCTCATCATTTCTCCCTTATCTATGGAATATCTGGAATGAATGTCCTAATTGTAATCCTGATCCTAAATCCCTGGTCTTTGGGTCAAATGATATTCAAATAAAATCTCGATCACTCTGGATTAGTCCATAATCAAATCTCAGTCACCGTCAATCAACAGTCCAGTGCCAATTCAAATCACTTATCCTACCTCACGATTATGGGTTTGATGCATTCAGGAATACGTCGCAGTTAATTTACAATTTTGGGATCATATGAGTATGCTCTTCTCTTCCAGAGAGTTCTTGTATACATATGATAAAGTTCTGGAATATTAATGGACCGGGATTCAACCTTGCCAATGATTGGTTAAATATAGTTCACGTTAAATGAGAAAAAGACAAAGAAAATTAAAGTCGAAGTGCAAGGTTTTGTGCAACGTGCAAATCAAGAAAATCAAAATCGAGAGTTTGGATACGCTGTTGCTATCCCGCCCCCACCCGTGCAGTCTGCAATCGATGTCGTTGCTCGGAGCAGGTTCCAGTTGGTGAAGGAGCACCTGGTCGAGTTCAACCAGCTGGCGATGGCGAACCACGAGGGCTCGGACGAGATGCTCAACCGAGTGATGACCAAGGACAACATCGGCCTCGCCGCCCTCCTCCACACGAAGGAGCCTGCCTGGGAAAACAGTCAGTGTCTCGCTCCGTCCTGATTCTTTCACGAGGTCTTAAGAGATGGGGGACTTTTTAATCTGCGAGGCGTTGGTGCATGACAGTCGTCTCGATGTTGCAATTGCAGAGTCTTGCAATGTTTTCATATATCTTTGTCGAGTGTGCGTCACAATTGCCGAGCTCTCTGAGGGATGGGCGGCGGTGCAAAGTTTTATAGATCTATTGCATTGTGTTGCGGCCCCTATTTTCTCCTTCCTGTGGCCTTGCCTATTGTCATAGAACTCAAACGAGGTCGATATGACAGCCAATACATACCCATAAAAGTTGTAAATTGAAGGATACTAGCACAAGAAGCAGTAATTTTTTTTCATTTCCGCCGGTTGGTTGGTTCCTGTAAATGTCGCTTTACGTGCCTTTAGCACGAAAGTTGAAATGCATGATGGTACGTGTCCCATTCATCCAGAGAACACCTCCAGTTTGCTAGCTTATGAAATCGCTATAAGTTCACCATTTGGAAGTGAAAAAGACTTGCAGTTGTGAAATTTAGCAGGCTAACGGTAATGTAAGAACTATGATGATTGCATATTTCACCCAAACGATTACACAATGTAGTATCATTTTGCAATTCTGCAATGTCATTTTTCTGTATTGGTTGGTTTCTTAAATCCTGCATGACTGCTGCATTCAGTTTTTTTTCCTGCTTATCTATTCAACTATTATTTTAAATACCAGAGATGATGACGATTTTATCGCCCTGTCATTGCGACGATTCCATTGCTGCAAACCGTAGACACTTGTGTCGGTGGACTGTGCAGGTCTTCCTCCCGATGCGGTGGAGGTCCCCCTGCTGGTGTGCACGTGTCACATTCACTGGGACCCAGAGTACTGCGACGTGAAGCTAATTCAGACGATGATGCTGATGAACGAGCTGAAGAGCATAGTAGAGCGGGAGGGCACGTCGCAGATGTCCCTCCGCCCCAACAGCAACCCCGCCTCCACCTCGCCTGCCTCCAACATCCAGCTCATGCTCTGTGGTGACTTCAACTCGCTGCCCAATTCTGGTGAGCCGGCTGCTTTCTCCATCAGGGTCGGTTGCTATCCCGGTGGGACTTTTGATCTAAGTTTCAGTCATTTTTAATTAACAAAAATTATAGATGCAGCTTCAGTGGCTAATTCTTCATGGCCATCAGTCAACTCGGATTGTGGCCAGACACTTTCCCTCAGATAGAAAGTTGTAGAGCCGAACTTTAGCCCTAGACTGCTGCCAGATTTAGATTACAGGCCTCTCCCATTTTCTTATAGGCAATTTCATTATCTGGCATGTTCCCTGTGCAGACAGGCTTCTCCTTGGGGCTGCTTAGTCATGACCTCAAGAATGTCTGAGTTATGTAATTGTGGAAGGAGGGGAACAGAGATCAAACTGAAGAGAGGACATGGGAAATGAGAGCAACTAAAGTGTTGTATGTATTTGTTGACCCTTTTCTGAACATGCAATTTTTTTCCCCATTAACTTGTCATTTTCATAATTGTACATTCATCATGTGGTTTTGTGACCAAGTAAGGAAGCCTTTCATGAGCAATGCTGTGAAAAGCTTTGCCTTCATTATGGCTAATAAAATTAGCGCTGATGGGAATGTTCTCTAAGTTGTTGCAATACAAAAAAAGGTAGTTTAAAGAATGTCAAAATTAGAGAGCAGAATGAAGTATTATTCCACTGCCACAAGCAATAAAGGGACTGGATGATTTTGCTCATTGTTGGATACCACAATATAAGCTAGTTCCTGCTTTCTCTTCACGCCCCCCCCCCCCCTCCCATCGCCTTCTATGTCTAGTTTGAAAAAGAAAGAAAATGGAACGATGGCAGTGGTTAACAAGGACATTATTGTTATTGTGAGGTGATTTATTGCCACACATTAGTCTTGTGTTTCACTCACAGAAACACCTGCCACTTGGCATGCCATTCATTTTCTCAATTGCCAGAGACAATGAGGGTGATTTATGTTCTCCAATGTCTCTCACTCCTGCTTTGATTTCTCTGTAACTCCAAGTGGGTGTGGGTTTCCTCCTTGTTCCAGATGACCAACCCTTACACCTCAGAAACCCATCTGAAATACTGATAACATTAAGTCTCCATTTGTTATCAGAGTTGGTTGTAAGCTGACACTAATATGCTTTGCATAGTGACAACTATGGAAGTGTGGCAGGGGATGAATAGTTTGCTATTGATCAGAAGCATCTCATTGCAAGTAGAGCTTTTGCAATAGGATCCATTTAGCATAGTAAAACCTATCCCATCAATCCCAAGGACTGATTTACCATGGATCTTACTTTATGGTATAGGTACAGCGTTATGAAATTTAGCATCTAATTATAGGAGTCCTGCTGACAAATTGTAATTGATCAGAGGTGGGAACCATTACCTGTTCCCATCTGCTCATTGTAATGATACTCCCCCATCTCAGCTATCCCTATGCCTTTATGCATTGTGCAATATCTCACCATTCTTAGCATTGCTATGAAATATAAGATATGTAAATTTTGATTTAGTTTGTTGTTGAACCTTGGAGTTGCTCAATTAGAAAGAAGATAGGACAGGTCACAAATTGAATGTGCTCTTGCTTCACATTGGGAGGGAGGAGTGAATTGTATCCTATCAGAGATGAAACTACTAGGGGAGGAACTCTTGGAATGGGGAGGCCCCCTGTCAGCCACTGATGCTATTGTCTATTCATTCGCTGGGTCACACTGTCATATGAGCCTCCTGTATTTGCAATCTTCTGTTCTCAACTTCAACATTTACTGTTACTCTGCCAGTGAATATTTTTATGATGATTTCAGATTTATTATGGCATTGGCTTTAGGCATTATAGTGTATAAACTAGCAATGGCCTTTTTTTTGTACAAGATGGGACACTTGCATCTAATATATGCTGAAGGTGTGACCAATACTTGCTAGTATTCCATACAGCCAGTGAAGTATTTTTGTGTGGAACTGGGCAATTATTGTCACCATAGAGATTCTCTTTACCTCCATGAGTTACAGAACTATCATCATCAGGTTTGAGCAGTGGTTTAATCTTTTCTGCCCTACTAGGATTACTCCATCCCATTTTCTTTTGTGAACTTGTTGGATGCTAGGAGCCTAACAGAGATGCAGAGAACTACAAGTTAAAGATTTTTGTCTGTTGATATGTGGTGCATTGTTCTATATACTCTGTGTTTTTGTGTCACAGGGGTCATTGAATTCCTGTCCAAGAGTCGGGTCTCGGCAGATCACCCAGACTTCAAGGGTTTGGGCTACAAGAGCAGCTTGCATCGCTTGTCTTCAACGTCGAAGAACAATGAATTCACTCATCCATTCCACCTCTCTTGCGCCTACTCCCCCGACATCATGCCCTACACCAACTATACGTATGTTCACTCTTTCCTAAACTTGATTACTGGAGTGATTATTTTGATGGGGTTTGTACATCACAGGCTGGTTTCATGAGAAATGTGAGAATGAAGAGATTTCAGTTATATGAGATATTGCTGTTTCCCTCTAGAAGAAAGACTCATATTTTTGCTATTTTTGCTGGTTAAAAAGGAGTATCCATTGTCTAGCTATTGGATTTTGAATGGGTTCAGAGTCTATCATTTCAAGGTCTAAGATGACAGGAGCATGCTCCTGTCAGCATAAACTTGTCTTTGCTCTTTTTTTTAATTTTCCAGGAATTTATTATACCTGAACTTGGAAGTATTCATGGCTGTAATTTAATTGCCTGCTTCTCCACTTTTTTGTCACATGACCCCCATCAGAGCACAGAAGTCCATCCCATATCTTCCTTTTACAAGTCATTTCTTTCATTTACCCCACATTTACATGAACTTAGAATTAGCTGTCAGGGAATGGATAAGAAATATCATTAAATGATACCAGTATCTTGTATACCAATGTATGAATGAATTTTATATGCTATTCTCTGATAATTGTTCAAAGAAAGAACAAGAGACATTCATCACTCATATGAGAATGAAGTATTTCAATGAAGTATGTCAATAAAAGATGTTATCTGAGAGTCAAAGGGAAAGTGAAATGGTAATTTTTCTCTGCCTGAGAGTGATTACATCTAGCCAAGCACATGGAGTATTATGATAGAGAACAAGAAAGGAACAATGAGAAATCAAATCATCAAGTGCTGTTTTTGGTGTTGGTTGCAGGTTTGACTTCAAGGGGATGATCGACTACATATTCCACTCGGAATCGAGCATCCGAACCCTCGGCCTCCTTGGCCCCATCGACCCTGACTGGATGGCCAACAACAAAATCATTGGCTGTCCCCATCCCCACAGCCCTTCAGGTAACTTTTTTTTTTCATTGAGGCTTCATTTACAGTTGTTCAGATGTTTGTGTGTCAGTATGTTAGCATAATGTATTTGGCAATATTTGGGTGAAGAAATATAGGTTGGATGGTTTTTTACTGCAACTTATTGACTGGTGAATGTGACTTCTTTTGCTTTGATGACATTCCTGAGCGTTTTTAAAGTATATTTTTTAAGTTGGAGAGCTCAGAGCACTACAATGGACTGGGCAGTCAACTATCCTTCATAAATTTTATATGCCACTGAGTTTGAAAAAAAAAATTATTTCATATTTTGTATTTTATACATGATATTATAGTGTTCGATTGGTTTGGGATTTTGCAGATCACTTCCCATTGCTGGTACAGCTGGAGATGCAGAGTCCAGCACAAAATGCTCCAAGCAATGGCCTCATCCTCCCACGGTAGCAACACCGCTAGGTTTGCTACGACACCCCCGTTCTTCCTCTCTTTCTCTCTCTCTCGCTCTCACTTTTCCCTCATGTTTTTCATCTTGTATTGACTCGGATCTCAGCCGTCTCCTCTGTTCCGTCTCGCCGTACAGGATCTGCCCGGCCGCAGTCACAGCGTTTACCTGCATGGTTTCTCCGTTCCCGAGTCGGGATAAGAGTCCTTCAAAAAGACAATTTTTTTTCCCGGTGTGACTGCTCGCGAGACAAGCCTGAAATTCCTCTTTCCCATGTTGTGGAGTACTGTGTTGTACTTGGCATTCAGATCAGCATGAAAAAGAGAGAGAGAGGAAGTTTGAGGCCCGAAAATATTTAAAACCAGTTCCCTTTTTGGCTTTGATTTTTTTTTTTCTATTCCCCCCCTGCTTCCACAGTACAAAGGAGTTAGAGCACACTGTCGTCTGTTAGGACTATTCCAGGACTATTCACTTTCTCTCTTTTCCCTCTCTTTCCTTCCCTCATTTCTGGGAAAAGTAATTACTTCATAGGTGATAAGTTTTGTGATAAACTTCACTTTGATTTTCTACTTCCCATCTCCTCACTTTTTTAACTGTTGACTCATTTCAATTTTTTTTTTCACTGCCATGATTGTGCAAATGATATGGCAGAAAATCCATGGAATCATGAGTTTTGCCTTGCAAAAATCCTTGCAAATTTCTTCTCATGTCTCTTGAATGTTCTCGGTTCAACAAAGCATTTCTCACATGTTAGAGACATTTTCCCTGCTTTGGTTGCCTAGCATCTGGGGAAACTTCCCCTGGTGGAAAGTTTTTTTTTTTTTTTTTACTAAGTTAATTTTTGTTATATTGGGGGAACAACATTCCACGGGTGGGAGTGGAAAAGCGTTTCTTTTTTGGGTTTGGTGATGGATGGAACTCCTCTCTCTGTCTTCTCTGCATATTTGAATGAAGGTTTTTTTTTGGTCGAAAATTCGTCTTTTTCCTGTGTGAATAAATCACGTTGTCCTTTTTTGCTGCTCTGAATTTGGACTTTCATTCGTTTCTTTGTTCCTATCTCAAGTTCTGAGGCAGTACTAAAGAAGAGTACTTAAAAGTTTTTCATCTGAAATTTTGAGCTTATCTGAATTTAATTTGGATTTAACCTGAAGAAAAGAGCCTGGGGTCGACCTTTAAGGGATCTCAGAAGCGATTCCACAATTCCGAGTTTTGTTTTAGCGATGTTTGCAAGGAAGAAAAAAAACAGGAAGACGTGCCAGATTTTATGCAACTTTCAGGGAGGCGGAGGCGCTCAGCATTAATATGGACGATTGCAGGAAATAAGGAAATTAGGATCAGGAAATTATGCTGTTCATTGCATTCACTCGTGAAATATTCACCTCAAATATTACTTGAGGCACTCTGCTATCGTTTCCTAGAGAGTTTTAATGTAACGAGTAATTTGATTAAAATTGTGCTCAATATGTTGGAGGGGGAAAGAAGCAAGTAAACAAAACTGCGATGACGCAAGGCATTCGGGAACAAATGAATTGAATGCTCTCCATTTGAGGGAACCATGGTGGTCACAAATGATCATTTTGAAACAGGCAGGTCCGAAATTTTGGTGAGTACTCAGAAAATGAAAATATTTTCCGTGGCTAAGAACCTTACAAGTTCTTGTGTAGTTCTGGCTTTAACTTTTTTTTCTTCAATAATTTGAGAGTCTGAAATGTGTTATCAAGTCTTTGAGGGGTTAATGCGCAATACCAACATCCAAATATTTCGTAAATCCAAAACAGTTTTGGGTGAAAATGTAAAAAGAAAATAAAAATGAAATCTCCCAGTTTTCTGAGCGTTGAATTATGGAGACAATATTCCCTTCGCCGATGGATTGTCCCAGAGGCCATGTGGTAGAGGGCATTACTGTAGTCCAAAAGTACAGAACGGTTGCCTGCAATATGTTCCAGTTGGTGTTTGCCAGTACGGCGTGTGGATTGGAGCTGATGGAATTTCAGCATGGAATGATAGTTGCTTGTCATGTCGTATCAATACTTTCTCCCAATAAAATGAAGTATAAAAATCCATTTATCGAAAATGCGGAAAACAGACGTAAAAGCCTGTTTCCTCGCTGTTTAACCCTTCTGAGACGGCATATGACTTTGCAGGAGAAAGTTCGTCAAATTCTCGTTTAAAATATCTGTTTTGAAAATACAGAGCGATGAGTCCCTTTCTTAACAGGGCTTCGCCGACTATCGCGATATCGATCGTTATTGCTCCCACCTGCACCTCGCGATACCGCCATCCAGCCTCCAATAACTCCACGATCCACTCCGGAAAGTCACCCTTGGAGACTCTCACCCGTTTCTCCCCAAATCAGGCTCGGCGGAACGCCGAAAGCGAGCCGCCCACAGAGCCGAGTAAGTCGATGGAGAAATGGAGGCAGAAACGGGGAGAAATGGAGGTGGTACCTGGGTGGCTTCGCCCTCGCCCTCCTCCATTGTCCCCCGCATTTCTCTCAGAAAATGAATGGGATCTTCGAATGAAAAACTCTCAAGGTCGTGACCCAGTCACGAGCGGAAAGTCCTCCTTTGTGCCGTCTTCATATCAATTCCGATCTGCCCCCGAGGGCTTTTCCGTCGCTGCCCCGATTCCGACCCGCCGATATCGCCGATCGACGATATCGCTCAGCTCTGCTCATCAGCACCACGTCGACGTGCAGGAGCGGTGAATTCCCTCTGCGAAATGTTCGCTTTGTCAAAAGTCACACTTTTCGGCCGGAAGTCTTTCCACGGCTTTAAGAATGAATCGAGGAAGCCATAGATGTCGCTGCTTTCGCCAATTACCGCGTGCTTTCATGGGTGCATCGTGCATCGACGGGAGTCGAACGCGAGGGCGTTCAAGATCAAGATCATCCTTGTTCCAACCTGAGGCCCCGTGCCGTGAGAGACCATGCCGTGAGGGTTCGTGCCGTGAGGGATCGTGGCATCGGGTTCTCGCTTCCCCGCGTCTTTCTAGGCCCACGAAGCGGAAAACGTACGTAATCGCGGGTGGAAACGGTGCACAGAACGCAATCCTTGCGAACTAACACTGGAACCATTTCCTAGAAATGCGATGCTGAATGTATTAGCAGAAATGCTGTGTATCAGCTGAGTGTCATGCAGTGTATTAGCAATAGGGCGTATCAGTAGAATTACTCTGGGTTTCCACTTCGCTGGGATCCTCGTCCCGTGAAGAAGCGAATCGCGACCGTTCCGCGAAATTCCGGGTCGCAACGACGAGGGAAGCAGCCGACCCGTTTCGCAAATAGTTCGCCATTCGCATTCGCTGTGCTTATTCGCGACAAACGGTCCGTTGAAAATCGTCTGCGATTCGCATCGGGGCGATGAACTTCGGAGGCTGGCAAAGCGGAAACCTTGGAAACGGTTTTCCACACTTCTGCCTCTTCGAGTACTGCTTCTGCACTTCTTTTAAGGCTCGGCGCTAATTCCTGCCGGCTCGTAAGGGTGCCCCCCCCCCGTCCAGAAAGGGCTCACTTCATTCTAAGGATATTATGAACCAAAATAAAATAAACGAACCGAAACGAACCAACTTAAGTCAAAGCCAAACTGAACTAAAGTAAACTAATATAACAAGAGACTTCGCAACGCCATCTCAACATGTCATATCAGGTTCAGATATAGATCTATCCCAAAGTCCGGGGCAGGATTGTCAACTCACCCACCTCCCCCTCCCCCCCCGAGACGATAAGCTCAGCTAAGCCCAGGTCGTTAACATGTGGCCCCTCCAGTTGCGATACAGCCAGAAAGAAAATTGATATGGGGTATTTCTGCAAGACCGATTGCGGCATTCAGGAACCCACGTAACTGGTCCCCTCAATCCCAACCCGAAAAAAGTACCAGCCTCTAATCTAATCTAGTCTAATCTAATCTAATTTAGCGTGGCCATCCAACCAGCCAACTCGAGACGGAGAGCAAGCCACTCGAGCGCCTGGTGGATCTGGTGGAGCGCCCGCCTCCAACAGAGGGAGGCAGACGCTCGCATCCAACGCGAATCGCGCCGTTCCGAGCTGGATCTTCTCCCTGTTGGACGGAATGGACTCTCCTCGTGGATGAAAATCGATTTTTGTGCGATGAGACAATTATTTGGGGTCAAGTCGATCAGCGGTCGTTTCGTGACATCTGGTGGGGGGGGGGGGGGGATGAGGGGAGGATGGAGGAGGCGATGAGGATTTTGCGATTTAAATTGAATGAGTGATGGAATGATGCATTCTGGCGGTGAATCGGCATTTTTTTCGGGATGGAGTCGGTATTATTTGAATTAAGTACTTACCGCGAGGAGAACTTCCGGACTTTTCCTCTTTCGTTTCCAAGTAGGAAATATGGGAAAGGAAGCTATTAACGACGACCTAAACCGAGAAAGTTTTTCTTGCGAAGTTTGCAGCAAAAAAAAAAGTTGCAGAAAAAATTCTCGATGCGGATCGATAGTATTGAATATTTGCGATTGCAAGCGAAAGTCGCTCGCAACCACTACTGGAGAGGATAAACCGTGCAGTTTTTTCGAACCAGGACTTTCAAACGGAATTGTCCGAAGAGAAACGCGACTCGAAAGGAAAAATGAAAAACTGGGGACCGCGAAGGAAACATTAATGGATGAAGATGGTTTAACGAAAGTTGTTTAACGGGGAGAGGGCGCATGGATTCCCTCGCGGATGAAGTCGGCGAAGGCGGCGGCTCCTCTCCCGTCCAACCTGCTCGTAGCCGGGCAGCCCTCCGCCTCGCACTTCTCCAGCCAGGCGCTCACGTGTGCCATCCCGGCCAGCTCCACCACCTCCAGGACCTTCGAAGACATCCGCGTCGCGGAATCCTTCGACTACGACCGCGGACGGTGGAGGGCGGTGGAGGGGGAGGTCTGTGTAGGGGGAGGACGGACCTGGACGCTGGAGACGACGGGGACGATGGAGAAATCCGCCAGAGTGAGTGTGGCTACTCAGTTGGAACTGGAATAACGATGAAATCGCAAGAGGCTCTTCGAGAAGTTTGCTCAAACTGAAACTGCCCAAGCTGCAGTTTGAGCAAACTTCCCACGGATCCGCTCGAAGTGTTTCTAAAATTTCCTTCAGATTCGTCACCCTCATAAGCCCCCATCCACGCAGCCATTCCCCCCTCGTTCTCCGAATGTCAACCGAGCAATGATTCTGCCATGACACCAAGTGCCAATTTCATCTCCCAACTCCCAAAAATACCTGAAAAACAACAAAACAAAAGACCTAAGGTACCCCCTTCATTTACAGACCCTCAGGCATCAACCCCCCTTTATCCCCCCCCCCCCCTCCCAATCCGCCCCCTTCCCCTCAACCCCCAGGCCATTGATGAATCCTCGACCCCTTCGGCAAATTGAGGCGATCTCCTTTTCCCTGTTTCCTTTTCCTTTCTCCATCCGTCACGCCCGCACGCAAAGGCTTCCGGATGCGAAGAAAAAAAAGTCGTGGGAAGGAAAAAAGAAAAACCGATACAAAACCGTCACGATCGCAGTCGGAACCCATCGTCCATCTTGGAGGAAAGTATAAATGCCTCGCCGGCATTTATATCTCCGGCATTTATATCTCCGGCATTTATATCTCCGGCATTTATACCTCCGGCATTTATAAATGCGGATGCCTTCTGCCCCCCGCAGCGAAATCGTGCGACGGCGAATCGAAGCAGCTTTCAATCGAAGGGCTGAAAGATAAAACGGTCCATTTGCGAAAAACGTCTGGCTGGCTTAGCACTTGCAAGACCTTTTCCCTTTCAAGGACTTGCAGGACCTTTTCAAAATCGTCGTTTTCAGGGATTATGTAGAAGAAGAATCGGCCCATCCATTCATACCACTTTTCCTCACTTTTACGATGGCAATCACTGGAATATTCGCCCTCTCTGTG